GCTCAGATTCCACCCCAGAGCTGGCTATATACCAAGAGGACATGCAAATGGGGCCTCCCTCTGCTCATGAAAAGCTGCACCTCTGCAGGTCAGGCCTGACTTCCAGGGGTCCATCCTGAGATCAGCACTGGGCACAGACCTCCACCATGGAGGGGGCTCTAACCTGGGATTTCCTTGTGGCCATTTTACAAGGTAATTTGCAGAGAAGAAGGGACACTGAGTGTGCAAATGCACATGAGTGGGAAGAACCGTGGATGTGTGTGACCATTGCTGACCAGGATTCTCTGTGTTTGCAGGTGTGCAGTGTGAGGTGCAGCTGGTGGAGTCTGGGGGAGGCTTGGTGCAGCCTGGGGGGTCCCTGAGACTCTCCTGTGCAGCCTCTGGATTTGGCTTCAGTAGTTACTACATGAACTGGCTCTGCCAGGCTCCAGGGAAGAGGCCTGAGTGGCTCTCATACATCAATAGTGATAGTAGTTACATAAAGTATGCAGAATGCGTGAAGGGCCGCTTCACCACCTCCAGAGACAACAGCAAGAACACACTTTACCTGCAGATGAACAGCCTGAGAGTGGAGGACACGGCCATCTATTACTGTGCTACAGGCACACAGTGCAGGAAATCCAGTGTGGGCCAGAAAAAAACCTCCCTGCAGGGCGCTCAGCACCAGCAGGGGGCGCTGGGCACACACTGAGGTCATGGTAGTCACAGGAGCAGCTGTGGAGCTCAGGTCCTGACTCCTCTGTGTGCCTGGCCTCTCCACAGGACGCAGCGTCCCCCACAGAGCTGTCCACTGTGTTCTTGCTGTTCTCCAACCCCTCAGAACACAGCTTTTTCCATCTTCCATTGTCGTGGTTCTGTTGTGGTTAATGATGCATCCTTGAGAGGACCAGACACAGCACCATGCATGGTCGGTGGACACTGCTGAGATCACTGAGGTCAAATCTGAGGAAAGTCAAGATCCCTGCTCAGTCCTTTCCTCTCAGACTCGGGAGAGATGCAGTGGACTCCCTGGCTAGGTAAGTCTTTATCCTCAGGTCAGAGTGTATAGGATGTTGTGCAGAGCCAGGGCCTCCATGTCACTGATGGATTTCAAGGCCCACCGTTCTGCTCACACAGCCCAGCATCCAGCCCGGCTTTGATCCTGTTGTCTCCTTTCCTTTTGCTGGTGACATGTAAGGGGCCATCGGTCAGGACCAGGGCCGGCTCTGTGACCCACAGAGCCCAGTCGTGGGCACCAGTGAGCTGTGGTTACCTGCAGAGGCCCAGTGATCCCCACCAGCTCCTCTGCCTCCCTCCCTTTCTACACACGCTGTAGATGACAAGGTTGGATGGGATTCTCAGCCACAGTTCTGGATCTGGTCGCTGCTTGATCCTAGAAGGACTCATGTGTTCATAATTGTCTCTGTGTTGTCTACACCTGTCCTTCACACTAAGTCCCCTGCACACGTGGCCTGTATTCAGTCTCTAGACCCCAGGCCCAGTACCGGGACCTGGAGGTCAATGAGGCTGTGGCCCTGGCTCCTGCATGCCTGGGAAGAACTCACTGGTGTCCCCAGGCTGCGTGCCCTGGACTGTCCCGTCCTCCTCTCTATGGACTCTGGCGGGAAGCTCAGGGGATATCTGTAGCTAAGGGGACATGGATGAGTGTAAAAACAGTCGT